ACAAAGATTATTGGCTTACAATATTGTGGAGGGATTGTCACATTGAGGTTAAATTGAGTTACATTAGTTTAAATTAGATTGTATATGTTGGTTAGTTTTAAAAATTTTAAAATTTTATTCACGTTTTCTGGTTCGGGACCTAGTGCTTGCTGGAGATTGTCAGCTATTTCCAGACTGTCTTTGGTGTTTTTGTATTTCCGGCAGTTGCAAATGATATGTTTGATGGTAAGTGCTTCTCCACAGGTGTGGCATTGTTCGGGATCGGTTTTTGACATAAGGTGTTTATGGGTCAACCAGGTGTGGCCGATGCGTAATCGGTTTAGGATTACTTCATGTCTTCTGGGGAGATATGTAGTTGGCCATGGGGATATTGAGGGCGTTATCTCGTTGAGTTTAGTATGCATTGTTTGCCACATGTGTTGCCATTGATTTGTTAGAGTGTTGTTTATTATTTTTTTACTGTCACTCAGGGTATGGATATTAATTTGCTGTGCATCGAACGAGGTAATGGCTTGTTTAGCGTATGTGTCTGCTAGTTCGTTTCCATGAATTCCGACGTGGCTTGGGATCCAGATCATAGTTATGGACTGCGAGTTAATTTCTAGTGACGATACTTGATTTTGGATCTTTCTGATAATGTCGTTAGGTTGATGATAGTTTTGAATGTTGGTTAGTGTGCTTAGGGAGTCACTGAGTATGATGGATTTAGTTATTTTCTTTTGCTTGATGATATCGAGAGAGTGAGAGATTGCGATAGCTTCAGCGGTAAAAGTTGAGCATGAGTCGGGGATTTTAATCATTATTTTATTTTCGTTGTATATCACCGAAGCTCCTACTCCTTCTTCCGTTTTGGACCCGTCAGTGAAGAACATTGTGTGCTCTTTGTAGTCTTCAAGTAATGATTGTAGTTCACTTTTGTATATTTTGGGTATAGTTTTGCTTTTGGGTAAAACTGACAGTGAGAGGTTTACATTTATATTTAAAATCCATGGTGGGATTGTGAGATTTTCGTGCTTAACGACCCCGGGTAAGCCGATTGATATATTTTGGAGTTCATTTTTATTGTTTCGGTGTATCTTGAGGTTATTTTGTATTCGCCTTATATAGAAGAGTAATGAATTTTTTTTTCTTATTAAATGTATTGGAGGGGTATTGGTGATGTTGTATAGACTGTAGATGGGGCTGGATCTGAATGCTCCAGAGACTAGTCTTAATCCGGAATTGTGTATTGTTTCAATGGTTTTGAGCTGAGATGGTTTGGCATTTATGAAGAGAAAGGAACCATATTCGAGCTTAGATAGTAAGAGGGATTTATATATTTGTTTGAGAGATATTGAATTAGCTCCCCATGAGGTATGTGCAAGTGCTTTGAGGGTGTTAATTCTTGTAGAGGACGCTTTACGTAATTCTTTTAGGTGTGTGTTCCAGGTATTTTTAC